ACCTGGATTCATCTTGGTAAGGGGGTAGCCTGAGCCCAGAAAAGGACATAGTCACTCTCTGGCTATAACTCCATCCCAGGTTAAAACTCCAGAGAATTCTAAAAGACAAAAACAAAACAAAACAATACTTCTCTTCCCTCTCAGCAAAGGACCTCACCTCACACTTTGTCAAGAGAGCTGAGGCCACGCAATGTCAGCTCCTTCTCCTTGATTCTGTACTTTACATTCTCTCGATAACAGTCTCTGTTCTCTCCTTCTTCACGTCAGTCTCAGAGGAAAAGGTGATCCTTCTTCTAGCCAAAGTTAAATCTCTCTACTTACTTTCCTGATTCCCCCTCGATGCTGCTGCCATTATGCTAAGATTATCTTCAATTTATTTTGTGTATACCTTATTTGTGCAGAGTTGTTTGCATGTTATTTCTCCTATTAGACTTTGATATCCTTGAGATCAGGGACTATTTTTGCCCTTTTTTTTTTTTTTTTTTTTTTTTTGCAAACCTAGCCCTTAGCAGTGCCTGGAGATGAGCTGTTGTTGGTTGTTCAGTCGTTTTTTAATTGGGTCCAACTCTTCATGACCCCATTTGGGGTTTTCTTGGCAAAGATACTGGAGTGGTTTGCCATTTCCTTCTCTAGCTCATTTTACAGATGAGAAAACTGAGGCAAACAAGGTAAAGTGATTTGCCCAGGGTCAAGTGTCTGAGGCCAAATTTGAACCCAGGTCCTCTGGACTGCAGGCCCAGGTGTTCTATCCACTTCACCACCTAGCTGCCCTCCAGCTCATTTTACAGATGAGGAAACTGAGGCAAACAGGGTGAAGTGACTTGTCCAGGATCACATAGCTAGTAAATGTCTGAAACCAGATATGAACTCAGGAAGATAAGGCCCAACTTCAGGCGCAGCCCTCTATCCACTGTGCTCCTAGCTGCACTGAGTAGGTGCTTAATAAATGCTAGTTGTCTTGACTTGGTATGCCATTGATTCCATCTCTTTCTATCTCCTCCTTATCCAGCTTTTTCCATCACTTCCTCTCACTCTCTAATATTTAATCTCTCTTTGTCCTCTTGCTCTTGACAACAAACAAGCCAGGTATCCTAGATCCTTAAAAACAAACAAAACAACAAACCTTACTTTGCATCCCTCAGGCCATCATCCTATGCCAGTCATCCTTTGCATTATCAAACTCCTAGAAGAAGCTATCTTCACTCATTGCCTCCACTTCCTCACCTGACTCTCGTGTTTAAACCCAACACTTGGATGAAACTTTTCTCTGAGGTTATCAATAACCTTTTAAAAAATAAATCTTGTTGATATCTTTTGTCTAAATTTCCCCTGTAACCAATAACCTTTTAGTAATTAAATCCAAAGTTTTTTCCTCCATCCTCATCATCCTTGACCAATCTGAAATTGATATTGATACTGTTGACTACCCCTTCCTCCTGGATACTCTCCCCTCGCTGGGTTATCATGACATTTCACTTTCTTGCTTCTCCTTCTACCCATCTGATTACTTCTTCTTAGCTTCCTTTGCTGGATCGTCATCAATATCCCACCTTCTTTGCATGGGTATATTACAGGGCTCTCCTATTTTCTCTTCTCTTGTCTCAGTATATTTTCTCTCTTGTTGGACCCAGTTCCCACAGGTTCAGTTATTATCTTTATACAAATGACTCTCCAAAGAGATATATTCAGCCCTTTTCTCCCTCCTGAGCTCCAGACCTATAGAGTTCAGCTGCCAGCTGGACTTCTCTGCCTGAGTGTCCCATAGACATCTTGAGTTCAGCATGTCCAAACTAGGAGCTCTTTCTCTTTTCCCCAAACTCACACTCTTCCTTAAGTTCCCAGTCTTCCAGTCACCCAGATTCACAACCTTGGGGTCATCCTTGATATTCCACTCTCCCTCACTCCCGATATCCAATCAATTATGAAATCCTGACAATTCTGCCTCCACATCTGCATCTCGCCCTTCCCCTGACCCTGACACAGCCATCACCCTACTTCAGTCCATCACTTCCCATCTGGACTATTGTAATAGCCTGATAATTGGCCTTTCTACCTTCAGTTGTTCCCCTCTCTACTCTGTCCTTCACAAAGATATAAAATTGATCTTCCCAAAGTACAGGCATCACTTTACTGCTCAAAGAGCTTCACGATACAATACAACCTCTAGAATAAAATACAGATGCCTCTGTTTGGCATTTAAAGCCCTCTACAACCTGACTCTATCCTGTTTTTCTAAACAGATTTTATATTAATTCTCATTATACATCCTATAGTCTGGCCAGACTGATCTACTTACTGCTCCTTATACATGACATTTCATATCTGGCCCCTGGACCTTTGTACAAGTTGCAGGGGGGCCCCCCATGCTTAGAATGCTCTTTTTCCTCACTTTTTTTTAAGGCAATTGGGGTTAAGTGACTTGCCCAGGGTCACACAGCTAGTAAGTGTCAAGTGTTTGGTCTGAGGCTGGATTTGAACTCAGGTCCTCCTGACTCCAGGGCCGGTGCTCTATCCACCTAGCTGCCCCTCTTCCTCCCTTTTACTGTTCAAAATCCCTAGCTCCCTTTGAGGCTCAGCACAAATGCCACCTCCTACAGGTGACTTTTTGATTTCCTACAGTTAGTACTGTCCACATGCCCATGAATGACTCCATATTTACTTCTTGCATATAACACTGTAACATTGAACATTGGCTCTTCAAACTGGGACCTTTTTATTGGGTGACTCAAGGGTTATCTGCCTACAGAAACTGTAATGTCATTGTATTAATTATCCCCCATAGGAGTACAATGCCTACCAGATGTAGACCCCTAATAAATGCTCATGGAATTGAAGTGAAGGTCATTGCTAAGAACATCCCTCTAAGGCTACACAATGCCCAGTACACAGTAGGAACTTTAAAAATGCTTTTTGACTTGACTTGATTCTCTCTCACCTCCTCCACCAGACTAAATATCTTACTTTCCTCTTTGGGTTCTCATGTAGAACTGACTGGGAGTTTGAAAGGCAAAATTCCCTCTCTTCCATCTCCTTCCAGCCTGAGGCAGCCAGATGGTGCAACAGATGAAGCTCACTGAGTCTGGAGTCAGGAAGACTTTAGTTCAAATCCAGCCTCAGACATTTATAAGTTGTGTGACCTTGGGCAAGTTACTGCATTTGCCTCAGTTTCTCCATCTGTAAAATGAGGATAATAGCACTTTTCCTGGCAACATTGTGGTTAAGATCAAATGAGATATTTGTAAAGCATTTAGCACATTGTAGGTGCCAAATAAATGCTTGTTTCCTTTCTTCTAAATTTAGCACCATCCACTTTTTCTGTTATCTCATGCTGGGTACCACCAATTGCCACCAGCATGCCTGACTTTTTGGGTCATTCTCATTCACCTCTCCTTCCTGACCTAGGCATGAATAAATCCTTTTTCCCTTAAGTTCAGCTGACAGAAGGATGGGATTTTTCTTTTTCTTTTCTTTTTTTCTTTTTAGACAATTGGGGTTAAGTGACTTGCTCAGGGTCACACAGCTAGTAAGTGTCAAGTGTTTGGTCTGAGGCTGGATTTGAACTCAGGTCTTCCTAACTTCAGGGCCAGTGCTCTATCCACTGTGCCACCTAGCTGCCCCTAAGGATTTTTCAAAGGGAAATTTTACTGAAAAATGGAAAAAAAAATACCTATACAATTAGAGTTTACAGCATCATTATCTGAAGTTTCACTGTAGTTATAAATGGCCTCCACTATACATATTCTGGATATTAAATTCCTAGTTCCTCTTCTTGGCATCAGTGTCTGGGATGAATTGAAGGTAAAAAGGGGATTTGGCCAATTCACACTGTGTCCCAAGGGGGCAAGGAGGGTCATCACAGTGTCCCAAGGGAGCAGTTCTGACAGTGGCAGTTGATACCCAGCTTGGAATCACACACACCCACACACCCACACACCCACACCCACACACACACACACACACACACACACACATAAACTGATGGACAGATTAGGTGAAACACAGTAAAGGGGGCAGTCAGGTAACAACTGGCCAAAGCCAAAGTTACCAGAAAGAGCAGGTGGGGCTGGGGCCCATGGGAGGCAAAGACAAATGAGAGAGTTATTCAGTCACATGCACTGATCCCTCCCTTCCTGGGGTTTTCCCTCACAGTGGGCTGAGGTCAGCTTCCTAATCAAGATCTAAGGAGGCCACCAACAGTTCCCTCATTAAGTATGAAACTAAGGGGTAAACCATAAACTAAGGAATTATTTTTTTCCTTTTTTTTTCTCAGCCCATGAGAAAGAAGGGAAATATTTTTAGATGTAGGGAAGTTACCAGAGTAAGAAACATTAAAACAAGTGCAACAGCAGAAACTATGGAGAACAGGTAAAGGAAGTGGGAGTATAGATTGGCAGGGTGGGAGGTACTAGCAACGATTTATTCATTACCTGTAGTGCAGAGAGGAAAGAGAGGCAGGTCTAAACAAAAGTTCCTCTCCCCTGAGCTAAATCAAGAACGGAAAGGGGAAGGATGTAAGAAATGTTTGTCCTCAGAGTCAGCAATTCAAGAATTTTAATAATAGGCTGGAGGAAGTGCCATAATGAAAAAAAAAAAAATGCTAATCCAAGAGGGTCCTGGATAGAGTAACTTCAGAATAGGGAGATGCCCTTAGACATATCTGTTAGGGCAGTTCCTCTCCACCCTCAATAGTCCATAATCGTTCTTTCCTTGAGGCGCATCCCATCAGATAAGGAGGACTGTTAGTCCTCCAAAGGGAATGCCAAGTCTGGTACTTGTTGGCTCTACCTGAAACAGAGCTGGGAAGGTTCAGCTAGTGAAGGCAGGATACCTTCCACAGGCCAGGCTCAGGGCTATGGTCTGAAGAGTCCGAAGGCGGGACCGCGGGGAAAGGAGGGGGAGGGCGGTCCGAGCGAGCTGTGAGGGCGGGAGGGGGCTGAACCTTTGAGCAGTGCTCAAAGGGGCGGTGCTGCTGAGCTACAGCGCTTTGCTCGCTCCTGGGCTGGAGCAGTGCAGGCGGAGCCCCTCGGAAGCGATGGACGTGAGCGGTCCCTTTAGCTGTCCTATCTGCCTAGAGCCACTTCGGGAGCCCGTGACGCTGCCCTGCGGTCACAACTTCTGCCTTGCCTGCCTGGAAGCGCTCTGGCCGCACCGTGGACCCGGGGGACCCGGGGGATCCAGTGCCACTGCCCGCTGTCCACTGTGCCAGGAGCCTTTCCCCGACGGGCTGCAGCTGCGCAAGAATCACACGCTATGCGAACTGCTGCAGCTGCGCCAGTCTGGCCCCAGCCAGACCCCAGCCTCTGCCCCCGCCCCAAATCAAGCCCCGGCGTCGGAGCCCTCGGCGCCTTGCGCCCCAGAGCCGTGGCCGGAGGGCGAGGAGCCAGTGCGCTGTGACGCGTGCCCCGAGGGCGCGGCACTTCCTGCGGCTCGCTCCTGCCTCTCATGCCTGGCTTCTTTCTGCACTGCCCACCTGAGGCCCCACGAGCGCAGCCCAGCCTTGCGCGGCCACCGCCTCGTACCTCCCTTGCGCCGGCTCGAGGAAAGCCTGTGTGCCCGACACCTGCGGCCCCTGGAGCGCTACTGCCGAACTGAGCGAGTTTGCGTGTGCGACGCCTGTGCGGCCCAGGAACATCAAGGACATGAGCTACTTTCCCTGGAGCAAGAGAGGGCTCTCCAAGAGGTAAAGTGTACGGGGCTTAATTCTCTGGGAGGAAGCAGGTTGAGAGCGCTGAGCGGAGAAAGTGAAGTTCCAGAGGGTACATTAGCGCTTTTTCGCCGGGTGGCACAGGAAAAGCTCCTAACGGAAGCTTGGCAGACCTCTAAGAGATAAGTTAGGGGAGCAGGAGATCCAGGAGTAGGAGAGGGCTGGCCTGAGCACCTGGATCCCTCATACAACCTGGTGGGAAAGGCTGGGAGGGAGGCTTGGTCTTGCTTCCAGCTTTCTTCTCCCTGCACATCTCTGAGCCACCCCAACTCCCAGAGACTGGTCTGGAGGACCGTTGCACAGCCCAGGCTCCCGATGTCCTTTCTGTCCCAGAACCTGGAGCCTGAATTGATCAGACTTTCTCCTGCTTCTCAGGGGCAGCGGGCTTGGGGGAAATGGGATGTGGCTGGCTAGCTGGCAATGTCAAGCTCACAGATCCTCTGTCCAGCTGTCCTTGGGGTTCTTGGCGGGAGCATGTGCACAACCCCGCCCATTCTCTTCTTCCCTCTCGGAGCGCCTCTCTGCACTCTCCTCTCCCTCCACCCCCTCCAATCCCGACCGTTTCCTTTGGCTTCAGTCCCAGGCTTGGCGCCTCAGGCCTCGGGATTTTCCGTCTCCTCCCTGGAGCGCCCACCACCTCCAGCCTGGAGGGAGTGACTCATGCTACCCAAGGGTTTTGCCTAGAATTCCCTGTTTGTAGAATTGGTTGGGGATACCAACCCCGTAGGATAGTAAACCTCTCCCTCAAGACAACTTGCCCGGTGCTGCCCCCCACCGTCCTTCTCCTCCTACCCTCAAATAGAGTTTAAATGAGACTGGGTCTCTTGCCTCGTACTTGCCCCCTTACCTACCACTGACTGGTCGGCAGCTATTAGGCTGAGAGGAAGCTGAGGGACTTGACAACTGGATGCTTTTTGCTGCTGCTTTGGGCCGAGCTTGAATATCAGAGAATTAGTTGGAAGAGACCTCAAAGGTCATTTAGCCCAACGGGTAACCAAAATGTGATTGCCTTGACAACTTTCCCATAGATATCTAGTGTGGCTTGATAAGAAACAGAAATTCACCATCCTCCTCTAGTCTCACTAAGGTAGGGCAGCCCTTTCCTCTTCTGGATATCTCTGATTGTTAGAAAGTTGTTTTTGTTTTTAAATAATGACCCTAAATCCACCTCCCATCTATTAGTTTACATTTTGTACTTGCAAAACAAATCTATAATTCTCTGTGTCCACATGACATTCCTTCAAATACAGGAAATATTTGAAGACTCCGAAGTTTTCTCTTCTCCAGACTAAATATCCTCTATTTCTTCATACAGCATGGTTTTGACCCTCCTAGTTGTTCTCCTCTAGCTGTAATACATGAATGATTCCCTCTAACTCATTAATATATTCTTTGGAAGGGCAGCTAGGTGGTACAGTGGATAGAGCACCAGCCCTGGAGTCAGGAGGACCTGAGTTCAAAAATTTGACCTCAGACACTTAATATATCTATATATATTCTTTGAAGCAGAAGCACTGCTAGAATTCCTTCTAGAATTACCTCACCCAGCTAGCCATAGACACCTTCACCTCTGGACCCCTGGAAGACCAAGTCTGTGTTAGCTCGGTGAGTTGACTTGGATTCTCTGCCCCTCAGGCTGAGAGCCCCGAGGTCCTGAGTGCTGCAGAGGACCGCTTGGATGAGCTGGGTGCTAGTATCGCACAGTCTAGACGTACGGTGGCCCTCATAAAGGTAAGATGCCTAAGTCCCTTGGGACATTCAGATTCTGGAGAGAAGGAGGTAGGGCTTGGGTTACCTTTTCTCCTTTATTTGACATGGACAGTATCCTGGGTGGGATTTGCCAAGTGAACTAGGCAGATCTCTGTGGTACTAAGGCACTAACTAGGCAACCCTCTTTCCCTCTTCCCAAGTACAAATAGCATAGATTTTCCCCAGGTATATGCCCTCCCACCTAGGTCTGATCCAGGATAGAGTTACAAAATTGGTGCCTTTCTATGTATGTTGCTTAACTGTTTTATTCAGTGTGGAAGTATGGGTTCAAGTCTATGCATAGTAGGAAGGCAAAAAATAATCTTAAAGTCACAGATTCATAGAGTTGAAAGATACATTAGAAATGATCTATTCCAGGCAGCTAGGTGGCACAGTGGATAGAGCATCAGCCTTGGATTCAGGAGGACCTGAGTTCAAATTCAGCCTCAGACACATAACACTTACTAGCTGTGTTACCCTGGGCAAGTCACTTAACCCCATTGCCTAACCAAAAAAAAAAAGAAATGATCTATTCCAATCCCCTACCAGAAATATATGTTTCATCTGTCCTAGCCCATTGAGTGGCAATCTAGGCTCTGTTTCATCATCTTCAAAGGTGATACTGCTTCATGGTAGAACTCATTGTATTTTGGGGACAGTTCTATTTTTTTTTAAGGCAATAAGGGTTAAGTGACTTGCCCAAGATCACACAGCTAGTGTCTGAGGCTGGATTTGAACTCAAGTCTATTCTGACTCCAGGCTGGTGCTCTATCCACTGTGCCACCTAGTTGCCCTAGGACAGCTCTAGTTTAGAGAAGGAGGAGCCACAGATTAACTTTCCTCTTCTCCTTCCCTTCCCCCCCCCAACCTGTGCAGAGTGCCGCACTGACAGAGCGGGAAAAGGTGAGCCAATTGTTTATAGAGGCAATAGGTGCCCTCCAGGGCTTCCAGTCTGAAGTGATGGGCTTCATTGCTGAAGGGGAGGCTGCCATGCTAAGTCGGGCCCAGGGGGAGCTTCGGCAGCAGGAGGAGCAGAGAGCCCGGCTGAGCTCCGCCCGACAGAACCTGAGTCAGGGCCCTGACATCGACTCCATTAGTTTTCTCCAGGTGAGGAGGGGCAGGTCAGGAATAAAGGATGGAAGTTCTGGGAAGAGGAAACAGGGCCTGGAAGGAGTGGTATCCTAAGAACAGTGAACTGTGGAGTAATTTTAACTTACTGTTACCATTCTGGGTAGAAAGGGTAAGAGACCAAGGAAGGAATCTGGGCTACCTGAATAGCAAAATCAGGAATAAGCAAGCTGTAAAACTACATGCCCTTGGAACTGTACCCAGTGACCTGGCATTTTGGGCTGCACCCAGTTTCTTGGTAAAGACTGATCCATCTTAGTTGTGGGAGGATTGGGCAAGGGAGGGGTTGTGGTAAGCAATGTCCTAACCACGGTAACTGGCATTCTACCCTGGCATAGGAGCTTCTGGCATTAAAGTTGGCACTGGAGGAAGGGGGTGGCTCTGGGTCAGGCCCCCCAAAAGAACTGAGTTTTACCAAGTCGTCCCAAGCTGTGAAAGCTGTTAGAGACCTCCTGACTTTGGCCTGTGCTAACCAGTGGGAGTTTCTACGGGGGATGGAAAGGGATACAGACAATTCACAGAAACTGGGTTTGGAAGGTGAGTGTCTTTCGCCCAAGGTGACTCATTACTCATCCTTGCCCCAGGTGACTCACCTCCTCTCTTCTCCCTCTCCAGCCTCCCTCCCCTCCAGTCTTTAGTGCCCACCCAGGCGCTGAGACTGGAAACTCTCCCTGGTACAGGGTGGAGCCAGAGCCATGGCTATGCTTGGAATTTTATCCCTGGCTAATGACAGAATGGGGATCGGCCCCCAAGGGAGGGACTGGCTGGGGTAGCAACAGGAACTACTTAAAGGAAATTTAATCTCTATGGAACTCCTTCTTCAGTAGCAAGAAAGGATTGTCCTAACCCGGGGGTGGGGAGCCTGCAGCCTCAAGGCCACATGTGGCCCTCTAGGTCCTCAAGTGCAGCCCTTTGACCGAATCCAAACTTCATCCACTGGGCTCCAGCAGGGGTTATATAGCCTCAACAAGGACACTTCATCTGCTAAGGTCATAGGATGATTATAGGATATAGGATTATAGATATATTACAGATCATGTAATAATGATGATAATCATCATCATCATCTAGCACTTTATATAGCACTTTAAGGTTTGCAAAGTGTTTTACATATGTTATTCCATTTAGGGGCAGCTAGGTGGCACAGTGGAGAGAGCACTGGCCTTGGAGTCAGGAGGACCTGAGTTCAAATCTGGCCTCAGACACTTGACACTTACTAGCTGTGTGACCCTGGGCAAGTCACTTAACCCCATTGCCTAGCCAAAAAAACAACAACAACAAAAAACAAAAACATGTGTTATCCCATTGGATCCACACAACAACCCTATGAGGGAGAGAGAGGAAAACCTGAAGCTGAAGGAAAGCCCAGGGAAAAACACAACTAGGAAGAATTTGAACGTGATCTTCCTGACTCCAAGTCCAGCGCTGTACCTACTATGCTACCTAGCTGTCCAACCCTTTCATTTCACAGATGAATAAACTGAGGTCCTGAGAAGTGAAAGTGACTGACCCAAGGTCACACAGGGGTAGAGCAGCAGAGTCAGGATTTGAATTCAGGTGCTCTCACTCCAAATCCAGTATTCTTTATTCTGCTTTCTTTCTTGTAACAACACACTCCTCCATCTCGCTCTCTTTCCTTCTTTCCTGCTTCCCTCTTCAGAGGTTCCCAAAGTGGGCAATATTGCCCTGGGGGATGCTAGAATGATCCAAGGTGGGTAGTAGTAGCCTCGAGTGCAGTTGCCCGGGGGGGGGGGGGGGGGGGGGGGCGTTGAATAAAAGAAACATAAGGAAAGAAGAGAAGAGAAGAAAATTTTGAAAAACCGTTTGTCCATCCATGTTTCATCTGTTGTGTAACAGAATTAATGTCGTAGCAATTACATTATTTTCCAAATAAACACACAAAATGAAGTCTGCCAACAGGCATCAATCAAGTGTTGGCAGGCTAACATGCATCGGCAGGAATATGTGCGTATAATGACTTGTTTACGATATGATGCTATCGGTTACATGACACAATATTGCATCATCAAAATATCAAGGCAGGAAAAAGAACTCACAAATTTACAATAAATTATTAAATTTAAAATGTGTCATTTCAAAATTTTTTTGAAATGACACAAATTAAAAAAAAAACCATTTCTTTAGTAGATTTCCAGGGGAGCCCTGGGTAATTTTTTTAAAGGGGATGGTAGACCAAATAAATTTGGGAACCTCTGCTCTAAATATCAAATAGATACCTTAAGAAGTGGCTCAGGAGGGGCAACTGGGTGGCACAGTGGATAGAGCACCGGCCCTGAAGTCAGAAGGACCTGAGTTCAAATCCGGCCTCAAACCAAACACTTGACACTTACTAACTGTGTGACCCTGGGCAAGTCACTTAACCCCAATTGCCTAAAAAAAAAAATGGCTCAGAAAAGGAATGGTCTACCCAACCCAGTCTAGGAAGAGTATTTAGTTAATAATCCTGGTCTTGACTCTCGGTTGTGTGTCAGATAGACAGAACAGTCAACCAGCAGATCAGCCAGCTGGTCAATCATTAAGCATGAAACGGAACTTCTCTGGATTTTGGTTCCTTTGTGGTTTAGTCATTGTTGACCAAAATAGCATTTGAGGGAGTGTCTGCACAAGCCACTTCCCCACTATCTACTGTGTTGTCTTGGACCAAACGTTCTTTCACGTTCTTTTTCCTGTAGCTGATGCAGAATCTCAAGATCCCGACAGCACCAATGGTCTGGTGTGCGAAGAGTCAAGAGACTACTTTCTTAAGTGTGAGTGTTTGACTGGCGCCAGACCCCTGGGGCGTTTATTACTCGTGGGTCTTCCACATTCCCCAGGGCCAATCACAGAAACATCCCCCAGCTCCCATAGAAACCTGTGGCATCGCTTGGACAGTGTTAGGAGTAGTTCTGGGGCTCTGGAGTCCTACTGACAAGGTTCCCAAGCCTAGTCCTGCTACTGATTCAGAGGGCAGCTTGTCTCGAGTAGATCCCCGCCCCCTCTAAGGTGTTGAGAGAGTTAGGTGGAGATAACCTATCATCCTCATGAGTCTGAAGGGTGGAAATGGGGGATTGAATCCCTGCTATATTGGAAGAGGAAAACCTGATTCTGGCTCCCTGCCTTTATCTCTGTCTGTCTCTCTCTCTTCCCTGGGGGCCAGTTGCCTTCATTGTAGACCTGGACAGTGACACAGCAGATAAGTTCCTGCAGCTGTTTGGGACAAAGGGCGTGAAGAGGGTGCTGTGCCCCATCAGCTACCCCGAGTCTCCCATGCGCTTCACCCACTGTGAACAGGTGCTGGGAGAGGGCAGCCTGGACCGAGGAACATACTACTGGGAGGTGGAGATCATTGAGGGATGGGTCAGCGTGGGCATCATGGCTGAGGACTTCTCTCCCCGAGAGCCCTACGATCGAGGCCGGCTAGGCCGAAATGCTTACTCTAGCTGCCTGCAGTGGAATGGCCGAAACTTTTCTGTCTGGTTTTACGGGCTCGAGGCCCCCCTTCCTCACCCTTTCTGCCCCACTGTGGGGGTCTGCCTGGAATATGCTGACCGGGCCCTGGCTTTCTATGCTGTGAAGGATGGGAAAGTGAGCCTCTTGCAGAGGCTGCGGGCCTCTAAGCCCCGCCGAGGTGGGTCCCCTCCCTCCCCCTCATCCCCTTTCCAAAGCAGGCTGGACAATCACTTTCCCAACCTGTTCACCCACAGGCTCAAGCCAGCTTTCTTTCTGGAGAGTGTGGATGCACACCTGCAGATTGGGCCCCTCAAGAAGTCATGCATCTCTGTACTAAAGAGGAGGTGATGCTGGGAAAGAGGGACTCCCCTCTTCCTTTCATTCCCAGGAGGATGCTCTGAGCACTCCCTGGTGATTCCCCAGGAAAATTGCCAATGTTATATTTAATACAACCTATACCCCTGTCCTTACCTTCCCTCTGTCCCTCACCACCTCCACTGACAGTCTCCCTTGGGACATTAGGTGGCTAGCATCATGCAACATGTGGCCATTAGACATGGTCCAAGCCTTATCTAACTCTCCAAAGTGACCTTGTCTACCCTCATCCTTTATCACTGTGGGAGTCTTCAGCCTAAGCCAGAAGTGACCCTGGGAGACCAAACTTTCCTTGTCAGATTCCTTTCTACTTTTCCTCTTCCCTCCCTCCAACAACGTTCCTGACTCCCACCAGCTCTTATCTTTGTTTCTGTTACTATTTGCCTTCCCCATTGGAATTTTAATCAAGACAACTAGCACCATGCTGTGCTTAGGAAGAAGGAAGAGGGAGGGGACAGAGCTGAGCTCTGTCTGGTGAGCCTGCCCTTAGAGCAGGAAAGAGAGAGAGAGAATTATGGCCCTAAAATGTCCCTTCAGGAACATAAGGGACCTGGAAAAGAGAGGGGAAATTTCTCTGCCATCCTACCTGTCTCCATTCTCTCCAGCTGCAATTCTGGGCAGGGGCAGCCAGAGGTAAGCTCCCCACCTCCCTCTCCCTGGGTCCTGACCACAGCGATCCATTTTGGGCACTCAGAGTATTTGCTTTGGAAAGGTTGAGTTCCCACCAGCTATTTTCATCCTTGTTGCCATAGCATAATTCTGAACCTTTCTCTTGCCCTTGCCCAAAATCAAACACAGACGCCATTCTCAATAGCTAGAAAATGGGCCTCTGGAAACTGGGCTGTCCTGGGATTGGTCAAAGTCCACCCTATTGTGGACAAATGTGCCCCAAGCGCTAGGACAGAGACTGCTGCTCAACCTGGCACACACACACGCACACAGCTTCCCAAGGGAAATGCCTATGACAACCTGTGTATCAGTAGCAATGTGTATCTACAATAAAGGGAAGTACGGTCTTGGTGTTTGTCTTTACCTCTCTTATCCTGGTGTCCAGAGAGTCCTGGCTTCACCAATAGAGGTAACTGGGAGTTCTGCATATTTGGAGCACTATGCACTCTTTCTTTTTTTTTTTTCCAAAGAAAGAATGTATTGCTTGGAGCCAAGGAGGTGAAAGTGGCCAGAATTCCTAACTCCATTACCCAGCCTTTCCATATATACTACATTATAGTAGGTATGTCTGGATGCAGGTTTGGGCAACACCAGGCAGGAACAAGAGACAAGGGGAGCCATTGGGCCCCTTCACCCGTGCCAGCCACTAAGGTCAGACAGGACACTAGCAGGGCTATGCAGAGCAGAGACACACACCAAGGCCATACAAGTCCTGGTGCTTCCCTTCCGGCTAAAAATAGCTCCCCTTACAGCATTCCCAGCCATTCATTTCTTGCCTAAGTCACCGGATGTTGTCTTTTTGGGTGGGGGCGCCCTTGCTCCTTGCTGCAGTGGTTCTGAACATGGTTCCCTTGGCAACCCCATGTTCTTACTCTACCAATGAAAACTGCTGTTGCACCAAGGGCCTGGGGCGCTGTTCCCACTCCCTTTCCACTAAGTATCCTGTATTCTCTGGATCCATTGCGTGCAGTCCAGGAGACTGGGAAGGGTTGGCCTATAACAGGAGGCCTTCGGCTCCCCTTTCTCACACTACTTAGCTCAATATATTCCCACTCCAGTACGCTGGATGGAGAGTAAAATGTACTCAATTACAATGTAAATCAGGTATGGGACAGATATTTTTTTCCTTTACTCAAGAAATGCTTAATGCCAAAGGCTCTTATGAGTACACATTGTCAAAAACTTAAGCTGACTAAACAAGTGTCAATAGTAACTGCTGTTATACTCTTCTGGGAGGGTGAGCTTAAATACCACGGCACCCTAAACCAGTTTGTCTGACTGTTGAGTAGGCATTGCTGTGTTTCTCACTGTGAGGCTCCGTGCTGTCCTCTCAAAGTCCATGTCTGCCAGGCAGCCAGGTAGCCAGGTCAGGGCTCGGGGTTCTCTTCTTGTCAGTGGTCATATTCTCTAATGCAGAAACTTTCTCTGCCACCAGTAAAGCCCTACCCAGTGGATCCCAGGATCTCTAGATCTCTTGAACCCATTCGGTTTTCTCTGGGACTGAACACATCTATCCCAAGATCAGTGTTCAGTCAAGTGATCGGGCAAAGAAACGTAGAAGCAGTAACCCGACACCCAGACAAGGTACATGCTTTAATGGCTGCATTCTCTACCGTTGCCCATTTCTGCTGGGATGGAGGGAAAGGGCCTCTCCTGGAGAGCCCCTTGCCACATGGAGAGAGTCCAGGGAAGAGAGCTGGGGTGGAATCACCCTTTCTGAAAGGTCCGTTGAGTGATCAGCTCTTCCTGCCAAGAAGAAGAAAATGTCCTTGGGTCCTGAGTCACCAGAAGCAGGCAGGGGCATCGTCCTCAAAGGCCTGGAGGAAGGAGAACCTGAAGTTTTGAACATGCCCTGTTCGACTCCTGGTTATATTACTTGGCCCCCTGAAATAACTCTGCATTAATACCTGGAGTGAGTCCTTCATAAGTGAGAGTAAGATGTAAAGCAGAACAGACCGCTGCTGTATAGGCTTAACAGACGGGCAAGGCTGGGTAGTGTCAGAACCCAGGTCTCCTAATTCCTAGGGCTCTTTGTTCAGTCATTTCAATCATATCCCCATTTGGGGTTTTCTTGACAAAGACCCTGGAGTAATTTGCCATTTCCTTCTCCAGCTCATTTTACAAATGAGGAAAGTGAGGCAAACAGGTTAAGTGACTTGCCCAGGGTCACACAGCTAGTAAGTGTCAAGTCAAATTTGAACTCAGGTCTGCCTGACTCCAAGTTCAGCGCTCTATCCATTGCACCACCTAGCGGCCTCATAATAAACACTTAAATGCTTGACTGACTCATGAAGGGGTTGAATCGAGTTACTTCCAGTTTTATATATAACCACCAGGCGGTGCCAGTGAGCTCAGTCGCCTAAGCTGTCACTCATCCATTAAGCCGAGGCCCATTGAGCATGCTCAAATGGATTTCCATTTCAACCATTCCCCCCCACCCCCTCCTTCCCTTCTCTTCAGCCTCGGTTTGAATCCAGCTGGGGTTTTCTGGGCAAAGGCAAGAGATGTCAGTTTCTTTCCCAATATCCTGTTACTGCTCTCCCCTTTACTGGGCCCATGTGTCCTAGAAGTATCTGGTTCTTTCTCAAATGAACTATTGTCCCTCTTAATGCTTGGATCCTCAGCCAGAAGTCTTTTTTCTGGCGGTGTTAACTTAGACACAAAACCCAGAACTCGAAATCTGCTGCCCTGCCTGGGTTTCGGACTCCCGCAGTTCCCACGGTCATTGCTAGCATTCAAGTGAGCAGAATTGGCACCGCTTCAGCGACCATTATGTACACCCACATGCACTGAGAAAGTATTTAAAGCCATATGGCGTGCAGATATGGCAGTCTTACCAGCTGCCCTGGGCTGTTGTTTTAAGTGAGTAGGGAATGGGACTGAGGAGTGAGGGGTCCCCCTCCAGTCAGTTCTCCACTGGGGATCGTGTAAAGCAAGGGAATAACCCAGCCAACTAAAAGGCAGCCTCACCACAGCTTTCTGCATCCCTGAAAGTCTCCGGCTGCTCTTTGGATTCAGTCCCTGGGAGGGTATGCTGGGTATCACCAGCTCAGCTTGTGATGGTGCAGTTGAGTGTTTGCAGGTTCACACTGAGCTGGCACCTAATTACTATCTTTCTTCATCTGTCAACTAGGTCAGTCTCTTTTCCCCTCTCTTTGCTTCCCTCTCCCTTCTCCTTTCCATCTTTTTCTCTTGCTTGTTTGTTGGGCTTCTCTATCTGCCAGCCCCCTTCAAGGTGAGAGTCAAAACCAGAACTCTGGGCAGTTTGCTATAAAGTTAAATCTGAAACCCCTCAGAGCTGAGAGAGCCCAGGAAAGGGAGCTTCCCTGCTCACAGACAGCTGTGTCTGCTGGCTCCTAAGTTGTTTTCTGAGGAGCTCCCTGCCAAAAGTTAGTTACATATTTTTTTTAAAAACAGATTTTTGGGAACTGTGCACTGTTTTATAATATTTATACAAGAAAAATGCTTTCCAAGTTTCAAAGAACCTACTTACAAATCAAATCGTAAGTTAGAGAATGCCTATGCTATTCTCTGTGTCCTCTCCTTCCTCCATCACACTGGACTTGGGAGAGGGACAGAAGGAGTGGAAGAAAGTTTCTTCTCTGATTGTTCCTTTTTTCTTCATCTTCTGAAAGCTCAATAAACTTTCTTTTTTTAATTCTATTTTTTTTTAGGTCCACATTTTTTCCCTCTCACCCCAACACTCCTTTGAGAAAGCAAGAAAAGCAAAACCTATCACAAACATACATAGTCAAGCAAAACAAATTTTTTGCCATGTCAAAAAAAAATTATCTCAGTCTACACTTTGAGTCCATCATCTCCACAGCAGGAGGCAGCTAGGTGGTGGAGTAGATAGCAAGCCAGGCCTGGAGTCAGGAAGACTTGAATTCAAATGTGACCGTAGACATAGACAAAGCTGTATGACCCTGGGCAAGTCATTTAACCTCTGTCTGCCTCAGTTTTCTCAACTCTAAAATGGGGATATAATAGCACCTACCTTCCAGGGTGGTTGTGGGGATCAAATGAAACAATAATCATAAAGCATTTAGCATTGTGCCTGGCACATAGTACTTGCTATAGAAATGTTAGCTATTATTGTTGTAAATTATTATTATCAGGAAGTAGGTTTTCAGTCTTCTCATTTTGCAGCCTAGTCCTCTGGAACAGAAGTGCTCAAAGTATCATTTCTGGCACCTCTCACCCCATGTCCCCAAGACCCTTTCAGGAATCCATAAGATCAAACTATTTATTTGCCCATTAAAATACTCCATCCTTTTCCAACTACATATCTGTGCAAGGTCAACCAAAGCACAAATGGCAACAAATTGAATTCAAAATGAACGTAAGAATCTAGCTTTCTTCTTTTTTTGCAGGTTGGTTTTTTTTTTTTTGAGGTAAGGGGGGTTAAGTGACTTGCCCAGGGTCACACAGCTAGCTAGTAAGTGTCTGAGGCCCGATTTGAACTCATGTCCTCCTAGGACTGATGCTCTATCTGCTGTGCCACCTAGCTGCCCTCTAGCTTTCTTCTTTTAAGGAAGACAGTGAATAGATTTGCCAAAAATATGCAAAACAGTGTAATTCTTTTCATTCATTTTTTTGTTTTGGAAAATATAGAATTATTTTTCATAGAAATATGTTACTTAAGTTAAAATGTAATGGATTTATATTCTTATTTTAATGAATCAAAATTTATAAAATTTTTCAGTTTTAATTTTTACTATGATAAATATGTAATCTAATACGATAATTTTTATATTTTAATTTATCATTTTAATTAATAATTAATTGAATACATAAATTTAATATGCTAAATATTTAACATAAATATTTAATATGATAGATATAAATCACGTAAACAAAAGCTCTTTGGGGTTCTCAATAATTTTTAAGAGTATAAAAGGGTCTTGAGACCAAAAGTTTTAGAGCTATTAGTCTAGGTAGCAAAATTTCAATTATCCACCTTCTTCAGCTTCCCATAGAGATCAGGTGGTGGGTTGTTTTTTTTTAAATACCATTTTAAGTTTTTTTTAAGTACCATTTTAAATTTTTTTTAAGTACCATCAAGGTGGGTTGGCCTAGTGCCCAGAGAGTTTTCAAAAGCCTCAGGTTTGAATAAGCTGAACTGTTTCCTATACTCCATCGACTGAAGTAAGCCATGTGTTTTATTCACACTTAGCAAGAGATGTGAATTTTAGAGCAGTGAATGAGGGATCTTGACCTGTTTTCTTTGAGGAAGTCCAAGGACTGATTAAAAAAAAAAACTGTTTGGCACAGTAATGGTAAAGCTGTGAATTGGTCTTCTCATTCAAGAAAACAATTTAAAACTATGCCCCAAAAGTCACTAAACTGGGCACACCCTTTGATTCAGCAATACCACAAGTAGTCTATACCATAAAGCAGGGGTGGGGAACCTGAAGACTCAAGGCCACCTCTGGCCCTCTAGGTCCTCAAGTGCGGCCCTTTGACGGAATCCAAACTTCACAGAATAAATCCCCTTAATAAAAAGATATGTTCTGTAAAACCTGCAAAAGAGATTGAAGAAAGAAGAAAATCTACCCATACAAAAAGATTTATAGAAGTTTTTTTGAAGTGCAAAGAACTAGAAATGGAGGAGGTGCCCATCAACCAGGGAGTAGCCAAGCAAATATGTGACTGTAATGAAATACTATTGCTCCATAAGATGTGAGGAAAGGGATGGTTTCAGAAAAACCTGAAAAGATTTGTATGAACTGATGCAGAGTAAAGTGAGCAGAATGAGGGGAACAATTTACGATAACAAAATTGTACAGACAGCAACTTTAAAAGATTCTGATGAATGCAAATAACTTACTATAGTGAGAGAGAACTGATAATGAATTATGCTAGCCACCTCCTGGTTAAGAAGAGATGTAAGAGTCAAGATGCAGAATGAGGCATCTATTTCAGGATAATGTGGAAATTTGTTTTGTTTGACTAAGAATATTGGGAAAATGGATACCTTAATTTGCTTGAGGCCCACTCCTCCTCACTCCCATCCCTCATTATCCAGGTAACCAGAAAAACTGCATGAGGATTAGCTGTATTGGCTTGACATATCAACAATCCTTTGCAGGGACCTAGAGTAAACCTAGCTGGATGTGCAGAAAATCAGCAACTTTGAAACCAATTAAGCTCATACCAGTTTTGAGGCAGACCCTGAGCCTTTGGTGGTTTATGGACCTTCAAGAGACATCCCTATCTTCAAAGACTTTCTTGACTGCAGATTATGAGACTATGGACATATCCTGTTTTGTGTTTTTTGGAGACAAGCTTATCTCTAGAGACTCTCCTAATTTTAGTTATGGGGCTCTCTCTAGGAATATCCTGTTTTTGGAGACATTGCCTTATCAAGCCTTGAACTATGGACTGCTTACCACCAAGAATGCCTTCTGATTTGTGTATCAAAGGGTCACAACTCTGACACCTGGAATTCCTTAGCACCACCCCCCTGCCTTGGGGGAAAGATGGGAGAGAGAGGAAAGACATGCTTGTTAGTTGAAAACTAAAATGAAAAAAAGTTAAATGTTTCATTGATGCTTTTAAAAAGTGCTACTGTCACTCATGATGGAAAATGCTATCCATGTCCAGAGAAAGAACTATGGAGTCTGAAGCAGATTGAAGTATACTATTTTCACCTTTTTTGTTTTTTTTTCCTCTTTCTCATGGTTTTCCCCTTTTGTTCTGATTCTTCTTTCACAACATGACTAATGTAGAAATATGTTTAACTGATTGAACATGTATAACCTATATCAGATTGCTTGCTGTCTTGGGGAGGGGGGACGCAAGGGAGGGAGAGAGAAAACTTTGGAACTCAAAAATCTTATGAAAAATGAATGTTGATCCCAAGAAAGAACTATGGAGTTTGTATGCAGATTGAAGCATACTATTTGCTATTTTTTTTTCTTGTGGTTCCTCCTATTGGTTCTAACTCTTCCTCACAACATCACTAATGTGAAAATATGTTTAATAGGAATGTATATGTATAGTCTATATCAGATTGTGCACTTAGAGAGGGAGGTGGGGTGGGAGGGGGAGAAAAATTTAAAATTCAAAAGCTTATGGAAGTGATTGTTGATAAATTAAAATAAATGAATAAAAAAAAGAAAAAATGAATGTTGAAAACTATCTTTACATGTAATTGGAAAAAAATACTGTTTACAAGAAAAAAGAAAAAAGATATTGCTGTCCTTTACCAAAATCCTTCCCACCCGAATGGAATCCTCCCATACAACAAAGCAATGTAGTTAAACAAAATCCAATATATAAGCTCTGTTGGACAACTATAATTAACCTATCTCTTCCCTCAGCTTAGAGGAGGAAGGTAAAATTCTTTTAAAAATGTTTTTATATACTGTGTTTTGCAAACCTTAACATGCTATACAAAAGTTATTGTAGGTGTTGTTGTAATTATTATACTCTTGTCTCAACACAGATTGCCCCTCCTATTGAGTCATTACCATTGAGACTTGGTAGGGTGGAAGTATCTGCTACCTAGAGTTTTCCAAGTTCCCATGGTTTTTGCCCTTGAAGTAATTTCCACAAATAAAGCCACATGGAGGAGCAAGATAGAAACAGAGGCTGCCATGTGTGACTGATGAAGCATCAACATTGGGCCTTCCAATACTCCATTTAGATCATCCAACTGTGGACACACAAAGAACACAAGGAGAGGACAGTGGAGAATGAGGCCAAGACAGGGACTGAAGCCAAATAATTGAGAGCAGATCGAGACAAAAAAAACAGGCATATGGCCAATGAGATACTTAACCTAAGTGAAGAACACCACTTTTCTTCACTGCCATCCCTGGAGATTGGAAAGCTGTCTTCTATTTACCTTTCTGACTACTTACTTCCTGTTTTCTATCCAACCCAGTGACAGGAGATATGGCTGGGAAGAAAGATATCTTTTCCCATTTGGTTGCACAATGCAGTTGACATTTGGATATTTTATTTCTTTAGTTGTTTATTTGTATGAGGGTGAAACAGATTGAGCAAACCAATCAAGACACCCCACCCCATTAAAATAAGATGCCTTAATGAAGTGAAAACAAGTCTCAATTAACCAATCAAATCAAAGACTTTAAAAGTAAAAAGTTCTTGGATAAATTGGAGTGGCAAAAGAAATCTAGTCATGTCCTCTGGGTCTTCTATAGAAAAGAAGACCAGTTCAGAACCCAAGTTAATTGAATATCTGCAGGAGAAGGACCTTGCAAGCTTCAGAAGTCTAAATGCTTTTGAAATTCACATCTTCCCATACACACCTAAACATTGTGCCAGGACAGCAGCAGCTAGCAAATAGCATCTGCAGTGGGAGCCAAGGTCAGACTGGATACAGATTCGTCACCTGGCAAAGAGCCCAGTGAAGAAGCTACATCATGCCAAAAGTGAACTTTTTCATCACCCCACAAATGGGAGAAAAGGACTCCTAGCAACCAGGAGATGAGTTACCTCTTTGCCACATATGATCTCTAAGCCCGAGCTCATTTCCCCCTGGATTCTATAGATACTTGTAGAAGAGTGAGCCATATACTTTGGGGGAGTGTTTTGTATCAACTATACAATTAGTAAATACTCCTTTCTAAAAGCTGACTAGATGACTGGCATGATTTTCAACTGATAATCATGATAAGAAGCACACGGTTGAGCCTTCTTGAGGTATATATAGCATTAGAAAGACATCCTCAATGCCCATCAGTAGGGAAATGGCTGAACAAGTTGTGAACTATTGTGCTATAAGAAATAATGAGCAAGCGGACTTCAGAGAAACCTGGAAACACTTACGTGAACTGATGCTAAGTGAAGTGAGCAGAACCAGGAGAAAATTGTACACAGTAACAGCCACAATGTGCGATGACTGACTTTGATAGACTCATCTCTTCTTAGCAATGCAAAGACCCAAGACAACTTCAAAGGACTCATTTTGGAAAATGCTGTCCACATCAGAAAAAAGAACCGTGGAGTCTAAATGCAGATCAAAGCATATTATTTGCTCTCTCTCTTTTTTTGTTTGTTTCTTCTTTCTCATGGTTTCTCCCATTGGTTCTAATTTTTCTCTGCAACATGCTAATATGAAAATAGGTTCAATATGAATGTATATGTAGAGCCTATATCAAATTGCACACCATCTTGGGGTGGGGGAAGGGAAGAGATGGGGAGAAAATTTGGAACTCAAAATCTTATGGAAATGAATGTTGAAAACAAAAAATAAGTAAGTTCATTAAAAAAAAAAAAGATATTCCCAACTGTCAAAAGGAAAATTCTTTGTTCAGGCTTTCGCCCTAAATGACAAGACAAAATTCAGGGAAAAAAGAATTAAAAGAGTTTATTAAAATACATTGACAGGCTGATCACTGGGGATCAGCAAGGGATTCAAGATGGAGTCAGCTTTTATTGATAACTTTCATAATGACATAAAGACAATTTGGATAGGTCCATGTCAGCAAATGGGGATGGAACATTGCATCTCAGCTACTCCCCAATTGCCTGTATGTGCAGGCTAATAGTTAGGAGTGACCTAGTATGAGACAGATAGCAGATAATACAAATACTGTAGACTGGGTGACGACTCCCCCCAACAGAGGCTCTCCCAACAGTGATTAACAAGCAGGATGGGAACAATGGATCACTGAGTCAGCATAACTTCAATACAGTTCCTCAGGAAGTAATTCAAGAGCCCTTAGAGGACCTAGTAACCAATCTCTGGAGACCCAACTGATCAGTTAGGATGAAGTTGGGCGGTCACTTCAGAACATTAACTATATTCACATTACTACACTTTTGGAAGCTGCTGTTAAAATGACACAGCCAACCTTATGGGTCATGTGACCAACAAGATGGCAATATTAATTGCTTTCCCCAGACCTCTTTAACTTTCTAACCCTTAAAAAAAATTAAAAAAGGAATCATGCACCAGATGTGGAATAATTATCACTGGACAGAGAAACAAGAACTCCAACAAAGTAAAATCCTTATAGTTTTCACTCAACACCCCTTCCCCATGAAGTTCTATGTTCCTAGAAGGGCGGGCTTAGCTCTGGGACCGCCACCCCTGATGCAGACACTATGCTAGCACATCAAGCTGCCATCTGGCTCCTGATACAACAAGCAGCAGACACTCACTCTTCTCTACCACAAGAGGAGGTGCTGCCATCTTGCTGTGGCCCATCCATAAGTTAGGGTCTTCCAAGGCTACAAAGACTGACTAAAAACCCTCTGTGCCCACCTCAAACTTCAAAAAATGGCAGTTCTGCTAAACTGTGAGAAGAAAAGGGGGAGCTCTGAGGGAGGAATTGGGGCAGGGGTCAACACGTACCACGGCGCTGGGCCTGATCGAAACAGTACTGAAACATTTCTGTCCCACCGGAAGGTACTGGAGAAAGGACAGGCTGGTGAACTCAACTCATGTAGTCTGAGATAACTTTGTGGGCCAGTCTTGAGGATAGATTTACCAGTTTGACCTGCGTCTTGTCATTGGACTCTGATGGCTCTGGAGGAAAGAGTGAGGCTGATGACTTTGCACAGCTCTGCCTCACTTAAATCCAATTCACTTGCAAGTCCAGGCCAAGTCCCTTGGTCCTCTTCAAGAAAGAAGGATAAACAAGAAATAACAATTCACCAGCAAAGGAGGAGGAGCCAGAAAGTAAATGATGGGAGAATATGAAAAAAGGCTGAAGGACCAAAGGTTCAAAGAGAAAAACTCTTAATAAAAGCCCACAATACAAGCAGACAAATTGACAGATACTTAAACCAGAAGGAAGGATGAGTAGTGAACATTCAAAGAGAACACAAACTCTCAACAAAGATCACAAGACAAAGAAAAGGGAATCAATGACTGATGAAATGCAGAATGTGGACTCCCAAGAAAGCATGGTTTAGCAACAACAATAACAAAATGCTAAAATGGCATAAAAAAGAAAGAAAAACTATAGAAGAAGAAATTAAGAATATGTCAGAACACAGTGATCAATAGAGAATTTTAAAACTTCATTTGAAAATTAGAAAAAATGAATCCACAATGGAAAGCATCTCTAAAGAAATTAGAGATGAACAAATTTGGAATACAAAAATAATGGAATGGAGGAAAATCTAGAAGAAAAGCAAATCACAAAAGGACACATGAATTCTACACAAGCTAAACCAGTCGACCTTGAAAAGATAACATAAGGATCATACTGCTCCCAGAAAAATGTGACAAATGAAAAACAAAACAAAACTGAACACCACAATGCAGGAAATGATATAAAAAGACTGCCCAGAAATTTTGAATGTAGAAAACAAAGCACCAATTGAAAGAACCCATAAATGGATTCCAAAGAAGGGAAAGGAGCAGCTAGGCCTTGGAGTCAAGAGGACATGAGTTTAAATTTGGCCTCAGACACTTATTAGCTGTGTGATCCTGGGTAAGTCACTTAACCCTGATTGCCTCAAATAAACAAACAAAAGCTAAGGGGGGAAAAAAACCTCAAACACCAAAGCGCATAGCTGATATTTTTAAATATTTTTAACAATTCCAATGGCAAACAACAAATTATGATAGGAGCCAGGAACAAGATCTTTCAATATAAAGGTCTGGAAATTCCAATAATACAAGATTATTGGGCAACTATGAGAAATCCCAGGAGCAGCTAGGTGGTGAAGTAGATATAATGTTAGGCCTGGTGTCAGGAAGACTCATCTTCCTGAATTCAAATCTAGCCTCAGACTCTTACTAGCTGTGTGATCCTGGGCAAGTCACTTTACCCTGTTTGCCTCAGTTTTCTCATCTATAAAATGAGCTAGAGAAGGAAATGGCAAACCACTCCAGGATCTTTGCCAAGAAAACCACAAATAGGGTCATAGTCAGACACAACTAAAATGACTGAACAATAGTATATTCCAAAAAGCAAAGAAGCCCAAGCTGCATCACAAAATGACATAGCCTGCATACCTGAGCCAAATTATCAATGAAAAAAATATCAATATTGTACACATAGAGAGGTATTTGAAGCATTTGAGCAAAAATAAAATCAGAGGGGCAGCTAGGTGTCACAGTGGATAGAACACCGGCCCTGGAGTCAGGAGGACCTGAATTCAAATCCTGCCTCAGATACTTGACACTTACTACCTGTGTGACCCTGAGCAAGTCACTTAACAACATTGCTTAGCAAAAACAAAACTAAAAATAAAATCAGACATGACCAGAATGTTTGGCTTGCAAACACCCCAAAAAATATTAACACGAAAAAAGAAAATAAGCACAATTGCCAAGGAAATAATAAGTAATAAAATAATTTATCACATAATTTACCCTATGTTTTGGGCTTAAAAAAGAAAGAACAAAAAGGAGTCAATCAAAGTTTTAAGAATACAAAATGGGACAAAGATGAAAGTGGAACTACAAAGAAATAGAAGTGAAGGTAGAAGAGCAGAAATCAATCACTGTGGACTAAAGTGGGCAGTAGAGAAGAACGAGTAATGTAACCCTGCCAAGTCAATGATTTTAAAAATTAAGAGAGCATTATTCCTTTTGTTGTTGGTCAGTCATGTCTGACTCTTCATGACCGCATTAGAGATTTTCTTAGCAAAGATACTGGAGTGGTTTGCCGTTTCCTTTTCCAGCTCATTTTACAGAAGAGGAAACAGAGGCAAACAGGATAAAATGACTTGCCCAGTGACACACAGCTAGTAAATGTCTGAGGTCAGAGGAGTCTTCCTAACTCTAGACCTTGTGTTGTATCCACTGGGCTACCTACCTACCCCTATATCATACTTACACATCTCAAAAAGAAGTGGGGCTATAGGAGTATATCAAGACAGTATAATGGAGGGATTAAATCTGAGGGAATGAAACAGAGTCTCAACTCAGTGGGGAGATTCAACTAAAGATTACTTCCATGATTGAAGAGGTGTGTGCCTTCAGTGAGAGATAGGGACCTCACAATGGACTTAATCTTCAGGGAATTCTTATATTGGGAAGTGACTTTCTGTGAGAGAGTTTTGGGCCTCCATAGACAACATCCTGAACCAGAAAAAAGGATATATGAGCTCTCTAACAGAAAATTCTGTATTGTGCTCTGCATTATTGGCACAAGTCTTCTAGAAACAGTTTTTTATTAAGATTATTCTAATCTAAGCATTTTTTTCTGCTTAGAGAAAGAAATGTTCAAACTGACAGTTTCCTCATGCCCTTAGATAGCTCTCTACAAGAAGTCATTTTGAAGTTACAATTTATAGGAATCTTGAAAAAGGAACATTTCTTAGTATGATAAAACATAGTTACAAGAGTTCAAGGTAAGGTAAATGTTCAGTTTACAGTTTGCTTCAACAAACAGAACAACAATCACTAAACACACCCTTAGAGAATTATTTTCCTACAACTGTTGAGGTTTGGAGGCTTAGGGGTGCTGGGACCCCAAAATCATGACATGCAGGTCCTGCCTGAATGAATTTGACCCAAACCTTCTTTCAACCAAAGACATGGTTTATTAAAGATCAGCCATATTGGCCAGCCTCTTAAGGAATCTAAACATTTGTGACGCTTGTAAAGACCAGCGGGCATGAGGTAGTCACAGCCCCTAAATGGTGGCTAGGATGGATCTTATATACAGAAAGACTGTGGGAGGGATCTAGGAGTGGCCAAGTAGTTTGGGGTGACTGGAGGACGGGTCTGGGAGAAGGGGTATCTTGATGGAAGTGGACAGTAAGCTGGGGTGACTGGATCTAGGGAGGATCTTGATGGGAGTGACTGGGAGGTTGAATGGGATCTAGATAGGATCAAGGATGGGAAG